CGTCTTACTGTATGGTCTTGTTCTCTGACGGTTGTTAGTCCTCCTTGAAGAGCATAGTACGTAGGCCGAGTACTAATGAAATGAGGGAAATTACGAGAGTGCTTTCTGAGGATGTGCGTCCCAGATGTATATGAAATCTTAGGACGAAGGGAAAACCTAGGTCGCATGTCGAATTGTCACGCAGTTTGCCTCACATCCAAATACTTTAAATGGATTGAAAGAAAGAATGTTTCTGAATTTCCTTCACAAACTATTAACGTGTTCGAAAAATACTGACCGAGTTTTTGACTTGCTTTTGGAAATTGAAAGTAATTGCTTTTCTTTCCGAGTTTTCTGCAAAATTTTGCATGGCTAAAAATGCATGTGTACCCTTTAATAATTCACCGTAATTTATTTCAGAGTGCAATTTTAAGCATACAAACCCTTAATACCAGAGTCAAAAATTAGAAATGCGTATACCTTTCCTGGGGTGATGAAGTAAAAAAGCTCGGTAACCGTACTTCACATGAGCTCAATGAAAACCAAAGGGATGGGCAATTTGAAGTATTTGAAAGACCTATTAATTATTTCGATAGCAACATAAATGTACAGGCCTGAAGAGAATTTATCGAAAGCTTACCTATGTCCGTCAAATAAGAAGTATGTTCAATGCTCTCTCTGCTGAAATCTAATGATCTAGTTTTTGATCGAATATTGATATGTGACGAAAAGCAGGTCCTTCATGATAACCGTAAGCGATCAGAACGAAGCACGCAAGCATTTCTCGACACCGAAGTTGCATCATCAGAAGAAAATGACGCAGTCTGGTAGTCTGCTATTGCTGTCGTCCGTCACAGCTAATAAGAACGCCTTAGCAGAGGTTTGCCGCAAGCAACTCGAAATGCATGTTCGCCTGAGAAAAATGAGACCTGCACTAGGGAACTGGCGTGGCCCAATTCTGTGCCATAACAGCGCACGGTCACATATTGCCGGGATAGCACTTCAGAAACCCAATGACTTGGTTTTATCAGCTCGATGTCAGCAGAATTTAGTTGACGAAGCATAAATGATCTCGTTCGTCGACAGCGGAGATGCATGGGTGTTCAGGGGCCTTATCTTGACTAATTTTAACATACGCAATGTTCATTTCTCAATAATAAACATTTGTCTCTGAAATCGGCCATTATTTCCCGAACAA